AGGGCCCTGCTGAAAGCTCCACACCTGTAGTTCACGAGCTTGCAGTGCGCTCCAGAGGAGACAGACCTAATCTCAAGGAGCAGTTTGCCGAAGCTGCCGTTAACACAGTTCATGTCCCTCTGCCTCCCGGTAACTGGCATTAATCCCACCTTCTCAGTGGGTGGCCCGTGAGAATTTGGGATCCATAACCAAGTGGTTTTGTTGGCTGGGTTGCCGTGCTAGTGTGAGTTGGCCCACGCCATCTGCATGCCCAGCCTCAGCAACCAGACAACCCAAGGAGCAGTTTGCCGAAGCTGCCGTTAACACAGTTCATGTCCCTCTGCCTCCCGGTAACTGGCATTAATCCCACCTTCTCAGTGGGTGGCCCGTGAGAATTTGGGATCCATAACCAAGTGGTTTTGTTGGCTGGGTTGCCGTGCTAGTGTGAGTTGGCCCACGCCATCTGCATGCCCAGCCTCAGCAACCAGACAACCATCCTCTGTTTCAGGTGAGGTCCCGTTTTGTTCCACTGCTGGCACATCGCCTCATTCTCACACGACCTTCCTGCTCTTTAAAACAAAACAACAAATCCTTTTTCAGCTACAGTGCTTGGTTGCCCACATCACCCCGGGAAAGAACCACAAGAAGGAAAGGAAGCTGGTGGTGGGGCTCCACATTTCTCTCCAGAGAGCTGGGCGCGGATTCCATCCTCCAGGCTAAGCGCTGGAGACGGGGAACTCTGAGATGACCCCAGTAATGGAAAGGGCACAGCCGACAGTTTCTTGGGAACAGGCTTTACTTCAATAACAAGACTCTGAGGCAGGGCACAGTGAGTGGAGTGCAGGGTTTGCATGAAATGTCCCTGCCGGGCAGGTAGGAATTGCAAACCTGGATCACGCTTTGGTCCGTCTGTCTGTAGCTTGCACCAGGCACTTCAGAGGAGCGTGTAAGAACCCCAAGCAGGAGGAAGATGCGGGGAATCTGCCCCACATATAGGTCTCACCTTGGTCTAATAGAGATTGACATAAGCCCTGAAACATGAGGTTTTAATATCCCTTCAGCATATCATGTAGCGTTAGGAAAACACTAGATATTTGTTTTTCCTATAAATGTCCCATTTTTATTTGAATCCTGTTAAGTTCTTGGACTCAGTGTCCTGTTGCACTGAGCCTCAGAGTTCAATGGCATGTGTAAAAAGTGTTTCCTTCTGCTGGTTTTGAATTCCCATTTTCATTTGATTGGCTGGCTTCCTGTTGTTCTGCGAGGGGGAGAACAGAAGTTCCCAATCTTCTTTGCTAGGTATGTAGATAGGAACAGGATAGACAGCAATTCCTTCTCACTCTGCTTCTTTCCCCAGGAACAACCCTAATCTTTTCGGTCATTCTTCAGAGGGAGTTTTCCTGGCCTTTGGTCCGTAGATTGTCCTTCTCTGAACCCGTCCCCTGGACTCTCTCTTTGGAAGTGCAGGGAGCGGTGCTGCCGCAGGCCTTAGAGGAGGCCTCACCTTTTGATGTACAGAACAGCACTGTACTAGCCTGCACCCTGCCCCGCATGTGACCCAGTACTGTTTGTGCTTTTTTGTCCACAGCTGCACTCAAAGCAGAGGGCTGCATTGAGCTGTCCCAGCAATGCCCAGGCGCCGGGTCAAAGTTTAAATCTGAGTGCAGAGCAGTGTTGACACTGAAAGCACCTCTGACTTGTCAGGCAGATGATGAGTCAGAAGGTGAGTCTCTGGGGGACCTGATCCAGAGTGATCACACATCCCACGGTGTGCTAACGTGGCCCTCCTAGAGCCGCATGGGATGGACACAGCCGTCCCAGGGCACTGTCTGCGTAGCCTGACCTCGGCTTGCACTTCAGTAGGCACTGCTCCCATCACTGGGGTGTGCTCCAGCATCACCTCCCAGAGGTCCACAGCTGTTTGTTGCAAGACTGTGAGAGTTGTTTGTTTAAACTCGGCGAAATGACTTCAGCCTGCATACAGAGTGTTGGGGTGTTTAGTGTCTGCAGGGCTGCCTGTTGCGCTGTGCGCCGTGGAACACGCTGTTCCCGAGGACGGTGGGCTGTGAAGCATCAGCGCATGTGGTGGCCAAGGAGGGTTGGGTGTAAAGGTCTCTCCTGCAGCCAAGAGAAGGTCACTGATCCAGCTTCCCTTTGGAAGGGCTGCTGAACGGATGAGCTCCAGGCCTTTCTCATGTCTAGTTTTTGTAAGGCTTAAATAAAAACGTTGAGGAGGTAGGCGAGGTCTGCCCTGCTGCCAGAGCAGGGATCCCTAGCCCTCGTCTCGCCTGCAGCTGTGCAAAATTAAGGAGAAAATGACTTCCCTTGGAATAGTGACTCTGCCCCTTGTGTCGTCACAGGGAGGGCGGCAGGTTTGTCACGGCGCCGTTGATTTCCCTAGGTTATCGGTCGGCGATTCCCCCTTGCAGCGATGGCTGGGCATGGTGCCTGGTGTGCAGGGTCCAGCATCACTCCTGTGTGGGCCAGCCCCGTGTGCCAGCTCCCCATGCCCAGAGCGGGGAGCCGCGGCCGCAGGGTGAGCGCAGGATGGGGTTGGTCTCCAGCCCCCTCTCTGGGGCACCTCCTCGTCGGTTTCTAGCACAACTCGGAGTCCGTGAGTTTTACTAAATTCACCGGGGCTGCTGTGTAACGGCTGGTGAAGAAATGCCGCGGCAGGTGGCAGCCCTCACCGTGGAGTAGCCCTGAGAGGTGCAGATTGAGAGTGGCTCCCCAGGAAGGGAGAGGTCTGCAGCAGGGGACCTGGGCAACCAGGAGGGATCACGTGAGGATTCCCTGTTGTGTGCACTGCCTCTGGGCACCTGGCCGTGGCTGCTGTGGGCAGCCAGGGGACCCTGGGCTGGACGGGCCTTTGGTCTGACTCCGCCTGGCCGCGCTGATTCTCTGTTGGGGGGGAAGGACTTTTGAAAATGACGTAAAAGCATCTTGCAGAGCAGCCCACACTCTCTCCAGCCACGGGGCGCTGTGCATCGACAGAGCTCTGCTGGCACCGTTGCTGGGCCTTCTGTTGTCTGCGGGGGCAGTGGGGAGGGTCTCCAGAGTTGTCTAACGCTTCTCAACTGGCTGGATTTTCTGTTTCAGGGACACGTCTGGCCAGGGGAGGTTCTGCACCATCTTTAGATCGTACTCCAGAGGTGCTCAGGTAAGCACTACCGGCATTGCGCCCCGGGGCTGGGCCTGCTCACATCAATGTTCTCCAGACAGGTGGCAAGCAGTGAATGCCCACTAGCGCCTTCCAGCGCCTCACCTTTCCCTCCGGTCCCTGCCCTTCGCAGCAGCCGGCACACGCATGGAGGGACGTGCACTCTGAGGCTGACTTCTGCCGCTGCGGTGGAACGGAGTGTGCCACGGTTCTGTGGGGAGAGGAGGCGTGGCTCCTGGTGTGGATCGTGCCAGGCAGTCTTTGCACTGCACCCGGGTTGGGGTTAGGTTGGCGTTCTGGTTTTTGGCCGAAAGCTGACTTGGTAAGCCTCGGATAGCAGCACGCTCAGGAGATCAGCTTGCCCTGCTCTGGGCCCGTTCCAGGAAATGGGCCTCTTCTGTTGACTCAGGCTGTAAGCCAGGAGAGCTGCTTGAGATCTGATAACCCAGTCCTCAGTGTGAGGGGCAGGCTTGGAACGGGAGCCTCTGCCTTGGGCCCAGCCTCTCTCCTGGCTCAGACCCTGAAGAGCTGTCCCTCCGTTACTACAGCGGTGTGGCATCCCTAACTCAGCCCCCAGGAAGGTGATGGGCCCTACAGCACACAGGCCTCTTAAGCTGCTCATTTCTCTGGCCCAGAGGGGCTTGGGAGATGTCCCCTGGCCTTCTTTTCAAGAGTAGTGGCTGTCGAAAGGTTCGCTGGCTGAACGGCTGCATCCAGCAGTTACCCCAGGCCTCAGCCTCAGTTTCTGCCACTTCAGCTTAATCTCTCCCCGCGTTGGGATTTCACTCCCACAGCTGCCAAGCTGCTTCTCCGCCTCCTTTTCTCAGCACTTCCTACAGATGTGCTTGAGACTAGACCTGCGAGCACTAGAGCACCCACCCGCGCCGTCTCCTCCAGGTGCCGCACGCCGTCCTTTCCTGTACAAGCCTCTAGTGTTGTGGAGGTTCCCTGGGGCGCCTTTTTGGCTGTGTCCAACTGGGTGCTCCTGTTGGTGAGGAGCAGAGCGCTATGGTGTGTGTGTAGGGAGAACTCACAGGCCCTGGGCCTGCACATCCAACATGATGCAGGAGCTTGTTACAATTTACTCCCCTTCCTGCCCCCAGCCAGTCCAGCCCTGAAATTGCATTCCAGAGGGATCTAGAAGAACTCCACTCCCAGGAAAACGTGTGGTCAGGACAGGTCTTTGTCCTAGATGGCTCTGAGGCTGTGATTACAATTTATTTAAATATTTGTGGATGTTTTCTACATTTGCAGTTAAGTTTGAATTGACACGCAATACAAAGTGTACGGTGCTCACCTCGCTCACTTCGTTTGTTTTTTATTACACATTTGCACTGTAAAAAAAGAAACCAATCCTATTTTTCAGTTCATCTAGTGAAAGTCCGGTAGTGCAATCTCTTCTTTGTGGAAGTGTAACTTACAATTGTAGATTTTTGTTACCTAACTGCATTCAAAACAATCAAAAACGTTAGTGCCTACAAGTTGTCAGTCAGTCCTGTTTCTTGGTCAGCCAATTTGCTTATGATTGCAGGAGATAACATTGCCTGCTTCTTGATTACAGTGTCATCTGAAAATGAGAACAGGTGTTCACGTGGCACTGTGGTAGCCAGCATTGTAAGGTATTTCCATGCCAGATACTCTAAAGATTCATCTGTCCCTTCAGGCTGCAGCCAGCACTCCAGAGAACATACGCCCATGCTGACAACAGGTTCTGCTTGATTACTGTCCAAAGCAGTGCAGGCCAGCGCATGCTCATTTTCATTATCTGAGTCAAATGCCACCAGCAGATGGCTGATTTTCTTTTTTGATGGTTCAAGTTCTGTAGTTTTTTGCATCAGTGTGTTGCTCTTTTTAACGCGTTCTGAAAGCCTGATCCATAGCTTGTCCTTCTCAGGCTTTGGAAGGCACGTTGGGTTCTTAACCCTTGGGTTGAGTGCTGCAGCTATCCTCAGAAATCTCACATTGCTACCTTCATTGTGTTTTGTCACATCTGCAGCAAAAGTGTTCTTAAAAAGAACCGTGTGTGGCAGTCTCAGATGACAACCCAGCACAACATGAAATATGTGGCAGAATTCTGGTAAAACAGAGCAGGAGACGTACAGTTCTCCAACGAGTCCGATCACAATTTAATTAAGGCATTCCGTTTTTGAAATGAGCATTGTCTGCATGAAAGCATATCCTCTGGAATAGTGACTGAATCATGGAGGGGCATACAAATGTTTAGCATATCTAGCATGCAAATACCTTGGAATGCCAGCTAGGAAAGTGCGTTGCAAAAACCTGTTCCCACTTTCAAGAGACAAGGCTGCCTGCTTCTTATTTACAATATCTTCCATAAATGGAAAAAAACGTGTTTGTCTTAGCAATTGGCTGAACAAGAAGTAGGACTGAATGGACTTGTAGGTGAAGTTTTACATTGTTTTGGTTTTGAGTGCAGATAAGTAGTAATTTACATTGGTAAGTCAAACTTTCACAATAAAGAGATCATACTACAGTACTGGTATGACATGAGTTGAAATACTGTTATCATTTTTACAGTGCAAATAATTCTAGTCCAAGATAATATAATGAGCATTGTACACTTTGAATTCTGTAATTAAAATTAATATATTTTAACATGTAGAAAAACACCCAACATATTTATGTAATACATTTCAGTTGGCTTTCTATTGTTTAACAGTGCAATTCAAACTGTGTTGAATCACAATTAACTTTTTTGAGTTAATCGTGTGGGTTAACTGCAATTAATAGACAGCCCTACTTTTAATGTAAACAAAGGACTGTGTGCAGAGTTGTAGACAGGAGCTTATGTAGCAATGTACAACTCTGGTCTTCCTCAAAACCTCTGGTCTCTGCACAACTTGTAACTTCCCTTTTTACAGGGGACCTCTTTGTGATCCTAAATGTTGAGTGTAAATAGTGAGTGAACTGACCTATTACAAAGCAAAAGAACGTAGTAGGCATGCCTCCCCTTTAAGGCATGCTCAGTCTTGCTCGTGAACCTGGCCGCACCTTTCAAGAAAAGAGCCAGCCTAATTTAACCTGCTCTTTAAGTAGCCAAACAAAGACATGGGATTGGTGGCATCAGAACACTGAATTGCCACAAGGATGTGCTTTGGTGCATTAGTTTCTTAGCACCACCTGCTGGCTCTTGAAAAAGCTTCTACAGGCTCCATTGTAGCATGTCCCCTGCTCATCCCTCTGAAAGCGACTGTTCAACAAGAGCCCCTGGGCTGGGGATAGGAGAGATGCCTCTGAATGCGTCTTAGGCTCCTAGGAGTAGGTGCCAAGCAGTCGCTTGGTCTGAGAAGCATCCCCTCTTTAGGGAAGTTGCCCTTGCCTGTGGCATGGAGCCTGGCTGGAGTGCAGAGAGCAAAACCTCTGTGGAAGCTTCCTTAAGAAACGTGTCCCTAATGGGAGGAGACTCTGCCTTGATTCCCTTTCTCATGCCATGCGTTTGCTCATCCAGCCCAAGCTCTGGGTTGTGCGTGGCGATAGTCAGTAGGAACAAGGAGGCAGTGTGTGTGTTGAACACTCTCCTGTGTCTCCAGCTAAAGCACTCTGTGTGCCCGAGTCATCACACTTGCAAACAACACTTCACACTTGATGGGTCACCGCAGTTGGGCACGTGCATTGTTCTTCTGGAAACAGTCACTTTGGAAGTATCAGCATTGGACAAGCCTCGTTGTCCGAGATCAGCCAATTTCAGATACGGGGCAATGAGGATTAGTCCCCTCTTCACGCTCAGCAGACGAGCCCTCCTGGCTCCGTGCACTTGGAGCTGTGGACAGACGATTGGTGTGCGGTAGGCCTGTCTGGGCATTTTCTCATCTGTGAGTCTGAGTTGCCGTGGGTTCTCTCCCCTCCCCCAGCACTGAGAGCCTCTTTTTAAGTGAGCTCTGGTCCCACCCCTACCCATGTCCCCTGCTAGTTTTTCTGGTGGCAAAGAATCACTTTTCCTCTTGGCCGTTGGATGAGAGGTGCGTCCAGAGAGGGAAACTGACTGCAAGGAAACAGAAAATCAGAGTAGGTGCAGATGGTCACCTTTGCAAGCCGCAATGTATCTGGGTAGGCATTAGCCTTACCGGCATCTTAGCCGTTAACCAGAGAGCCCAGGCAGCGGGAGCAGCTCCCTGCCCTTGAGAACTATTTTAGGCGGGTTTGACACCCTCCTTTTCAAGAGCATCTGAGCCCTACTCTGGAGATTTAGGCACTCCTGCAAGCTTTCCCCAAAGCTCTATCACGCACGCTCTCGGGAATCCAACTGGCAGGACTTTGGTCTCTAATCTTCCTGGTAATAGTGCCCTTAGATGTACGAGTGATGGTTACAAATTGTTCAGATGAAATGTCTGATTAAGTGGGTGTCCTAACTTGAGCAGACCCCATATTGCTGCTCCCCAGATTTGGGATAAGACCGCTCCAACACAACTTACAGCCGGGGGCGTCTGTGTAGCATGGGCGCCAGTCATGTGGTTGCTGTGCCAAATGCCTCGCCGCCTGGCGTCCCCATCCATGGCAGCAGGACTGAACAGGAAAGCAGCCGTGTGGTGAAGGGTTGGGCCACGCTACGCAATACGTCGCCCTGTAAGTCTGTTACTTGGGTGTCTACGCCGTGCTGTGTCAGTGGGATTCCCTCTCCTGCTGACTCAGCAGGTCTTCATCAGACCTCAGTCAACACAGCTGCAGCAGGGCCACGTCAGCCATTAGTACGGGCAAGCCCTCAACTCCATCTCATTCAGGGAGGGCCAGGCCTTCAGCTCCTCAGCCCCACATGTATGTGTGTGTCTGGTCTGTACATGGAGGCAGGATTTTGAACAAGGTTGTATTCTAATCGGAAGTGTGAGCAGCCAGCAGAAGCCCTCAGTAGACCTGTCCTGCCGCTGTTGGGCTCTTGCTAACTGGCATTTGTACCTCACACTGGGGTGCTCCTGATGTCGAATGGTTACGTGTGCGAATTAGGGTCTTTGCTCTGCCAACTTAATCTGCCTCTGTTCTTGAGC